GTTGGTGTTTGCCTGAGCATGCGGGGCACACGACCCCCAGCTCAAACCACCAACCAACTCAACCAACACCGTGTCTTGGAAAGGGAGCAGCATCACGAGCATCGGCAACACGAACATCACTGTCATCTCGTCGCTTCAACAGCCGCGGTGAAGTCTTCCTCTTAACACGGTAGCGCGGCCTAAACGGACCATTGCAAATAGTTCTTGGCAAATTGGATACTCGAACATTCCATCGCCACTGCCGAAAACATAGCACACATGTGATGAGCTCCTCATTGTCTTTCCCTGCGATCTTTCCCACTCTCCGGTTCCACGTAAGCGAATGTCCCCCTTTGTTATATTTGTTGTGCAAGTCATGCTCAAGAGCATCCAGTCTTGCAGATGCCTGACTCCACCCCTCACCCGAAACCCAGCGCTCTCGAGGCGCATCTTTGTGTACACATGGTTGAGATGTAATCTTCATTTACAGGCTCCTTCATACGCGATGATTCCTGATGTGCACGCTCCCCCTCATGAAAAGACTTGATGTGCTTCTGCCAGATGGTGAGCAACATACGATGTAGTGCGACAGTTTGTACGTTGGTCAAAGTACACGCAATGGGAATAATGCCTGCATACTTGGTACAAACAGGTAGAGCATCAACATCCTCACTCAACATCGCGGTGAAAACCACTCCGTCATTCGCGTAAAGAGGGCACTCCCATGAGACATGCAAAACAGTTTGTTGAGCACCGCAGTCGCAAAGTTTGGCCCCCGCTTGTCGTTTGTGTGGCGCAGTCCTCTCGTTGGTAAGCAAACCACCAGCAAACAGTCTACGCAACACTGAAGGTTTGGCATGCGCATCCCCAATAGGGCCATCATACTCCAGCCCCTCATCACCGCCAAGATTGCTTTGAGAGGCCAACTGCCGCAATTCATTGTGATATTGCATTGTTCTGTCAATATCCACATCATGTACATCACAATAATGTTGCGCGCGTTCGGTAGAAACCAAAGACCACAGTCGTGACCTCCACATTTCACGGTCGGTCAGAAGCTCCTTGACTGCAGTACGAAAGACGGGGTTACCATAGAGCTGTCGAAGACGGATTGTCGGACCATCACGCTCATGACCATTACAAGCCAGAAAGCGTTTTCTCATCTCGACGGCAAAGTCGTGTTGCCTCATACATCGTGCCAGGGTGCGAAGGCCATGGTATTTGTGCCCAAACATCGGGTCCAATTGCGCTGGTAAAAGCAACGCAAAAGTAATGTAGGGACTCATTGAGTAGCAATCGGTCTGCCACATCGTGCGCATGATGGTAGAGGGTACCTTTTTGAGCTCTTCCTCATCAACCTGAAAGGTGTGCGTGCCCTGCGCGTACACAGACTGGCTTTGTGTGGCAACCAGCATCTTGGCTTTGCGCTGCCAATGCAAAGGAATGTGTTTCAAACGCGTGATTGTTTCTTTCCACTTGTCAAGACGCTCCTCCTCGACCTGAGTGGGCCCAACATCCGAAGCCTGAGATTTGAAGGACCCTCCAACGATCTTGAAATTGAGCAAATACACTGGGTTCAACTTTCCTTGGATACACGCATCGGCAAATGTGAACGTCTTTGTGTTGGATATATCACCACACCCAAACCCCTCATAGGCACGAACAACAGAGTGAAAACGACGAAGGTTGTTGATCGGAGCATCAGAACGCTGATCTTGTGCCGTGGCACTGATGTCATCACCATACGCCTTGGCACAACCGCCGGAATGAAAGCTTCCGTTGCCTCAAGAAAAGAGGCGACCATAGCAGTCAGACCAATCATGCTCAAAGCACAACCCTGTAGAATCCCATTGGCACATGTCCACAATGAGCTGCATGAACCGCGGAGTCGGTAAACTCTTTGCATTTGGGCATAAACACCTTTAAGTGGTAGCAGTACTAGCGCATCGATGCCACGCTTCGCCAGGCAACGAAACATAATATCATGTGGTACAACATCAAAGGCCTTGGCAAAATCATAAGATATTCCAACAACATATCCCCCCGTCTCCGGCTATTCATAGGAAGGGGTGCCTCCATGTCCTGCGGGATGCACGTTGCCATACTTTCAGCTCCCCGCTTGGGCATACACCCGTGCATACCCTTAGGTGCCCAGCCCATTTTGTTTGCCAGATAAGACATTGTTGAAACCTAAAGCCACTCCATAATCTGTATACGTATGATAGAACGCTTATCGGCTTATCGGTCTCAAGGTGCCCGGGCCACTCTCCGGGGTAGAACTTTCTTTTGGAATAAGAGCGACGTAGCCCGTCACGAGTGATTGAGGCCATTGTCCATGTTTTTCAATGTGATTGTAAATCGTAGCGAGACTTGAAAACATACCAGGGTGCCATAAAGCAAGAGCGCGCAAGGACTCGGGCCTCCAATTGTCGAGACCCGCGCTGCTGGGGTTGAGTGTACTTGCAAACTTAACAAGTGCCTCAGGGGTGATGTCATCAACATGCATAGAATGGGATTTCATGTGCTCGCCAAAGAAGTTCATAAGAGCATCCCCATCCGCAGTGTGGTTTTGGAACTTGTTGATATACGGTTTCCACACGTCATAAATCGCACATAATTGTTCATCAATGTTGGCCGTAACCCGTCCGTCTGGTGACTTCATAGTAGCAGGTACTTGTTGACACAACCATTGGTATGCATGCTTTTCACTGGACTGTAGTCGTTGCCTCCAGGCAATATGTTTGTCCCGTGCAGTTTTCTGTGCCCGAATGTACGTTTCGCGAAAGAGGAGAGCCAAACGCTGAGCACCGTCATAACAAGGTCGCTGTCCAAGTATGGTTTTTGTCTGAGCGCGTGCACGGGCATCCAACCATTCGCATTTCTTCCAGATGTTACTCCATCCATGCAGCAACCTTAGTACATTCCTCAGCGCGTCCCATTCCCGAAGCCAAACTGCGCGTACGAACAGTTTGAGCAGCTGCTTCCCGGCATGGCGGAAAAGACACAAACCCGGTTAAAGGCAATCTTTCCACGTCCATGGCCCGTGTCATAACTTGCTTCATTGTCATCACCGTCATGTTTGACAATAGGGATACGTAAAAGTAAACGCTCCGCTGCGCTGCACCAAACCTCAAACGCTTTGTCAATTCCGTTTGTCCTGAATTTTTGTTCAACCCTACGACTGCCTCCACTCGAATAATCACGATGATGTACTGCGGGATTCTAGTATTCGCATTTGTCACCGACTTTCTTGACGATCCTGCGGTGTTGTCGGGCACGTATGGGCACGTGGTAATCTCATCGTAACGCAAACCCGACGGTGATCTTTGTCCAAAAAACCGTCTCGCACCTCATAGCTGGACAATAAGCATGCAGCTGCACGATTAGCCAAGCATAAATCGATACGAGACCCTTGACGTTTGATGCATGTGGGTTTATCGCGAGAATCCGCATCTGCAAACGCATGAGCATCCACCCATCCACCTGAGCGTAGCATCTCTCTGATGACCGTGGACTCATCAACCTGGATGTTGAAGTCACCGGTGACGATGATGAGCATACCACCTCTGCCCGCCATTTCGGATGAGAGATCACGCAACATACGATTGACAGCATCTTTCTTGTCGGACTCCCATCCGGCTCCAGCGCGACCATCAAACGCAACGAAGACGATGCTACGTTTACCACCTTCCACAAAGGTCTGGACTGAAACCAACCGCACCTCCTTGTGATACTTTTTGCATGCTCCGCTTTCGAAATCAAGAGGCACCACAGCTCAGCATGAGCTCTTTTTCACCATAATGTGACACCTGTGCGGGATGAACTCGGTTGAGCATGGCCCCCAACGACATGGTAGTCATCATTCGAATGCTTGAGTGTGGACTGTGTGCGAAGAGTGGCATGTGTCTCCGACAGAACCGCAATATCATCCGTAAAGTTACATATGCGATCCCACCGTCCAAGTACATTAACACCATTCGGGTTGAAGGATTGCAGTGAAACACATCGTTGATCCGGCGCAGCATTCCCATTTTGGGCATGCATAACCCGATTCCTCTGTAGCCTTGTGGTGTGCCACTGCACGCTCACGCATCTCAAGCCCTTGAGGCGAAAGATAGCACATAGATCCCAACAGCGTGTTGTATGAGACCTGCGTGCTGAAACACAATGCAATATGAATAAATTCCCAGTGAAACCCGTGCCGCGTTCTTTACGACGAGCGCTGCCCCTTTGGCTCAGGGGTCTCTCCTGTGTGATCGTATGGTGGCCGTTTGGTGCCTGCATTCTCAAGCTCAACAACCATAGCATTGTCAACCTCCCTGAGAAAAGAAAACTGTCTGTCCTTGCGCGTTGTGGGAGTGGACACACTGGTAGCCTTGGTAGCACTGGAAGTGGCAACACGAGCATCTTTGGACATACCACGCGCCAACGAATTGAGGGCCTTGAAACGCAACTGGTGTTTCTGACCCGATGCTGTATAGAACAATGGCTTGTCATCACCCCTGTTGGCGGCATGAAACACCGCCTGGCGATCATCAAGATAGAGAACTTCAACATCACTCCAATGGTTCTGGAGTAGCAACTGGTGCAACCCATGGATTCCCGCCCCCACTTGAAAGTCCGTGATTCGCCACCTTGCCCATAAGGATGAGTCCTGAAAGTTCTTTTCCTTGGCGAAGTTGGAGAGAACGGTAACATCACGAAAACGCAATGCGAGTTTGCCTGTTGCACCTTTTTCCGCAACCCCCATAACTCGAGCATCACTGGCATAGACCAAAGCTTTTGCCAGTGGCAAATCTTCTGGAAGCCACAACAACTCCAAGGGTTGAATGTCAGGGCTCTGCGATTTGATGAATATTCCATCCTGGCCTGATGCTTTAAGGAGCGTGTCAATCTTATCAGTGTGGCAGAGAAACGCAAAAAGTGCCATTCATGCGAGGTTGTATCTGGTCAATGGCAACGTCAGACACGAACTTTCCCAAATGCGTAGTAAGCAACTTCGCTGGATGAACATCGTCGGGCCACCCACGCTTGACACAGCAGTCATCTTACTCATGTGTGTCACCATGAACTTCATATCCTTCAACCACACGCTCAACCTGGGGACCAAAGCCGAGCTGAACAAGCCAACGTGTGATGTTGATGAGCTCCCGCTTCCCACCCTGCGATGATACACTCCATGAGCAAGTCACCAGACTGCGAGGGTACGCGTGAAGGCCTAACTCATCGGGGTCCTGGACCACAATAATCGCAGACGGGTGCGCTGTGTATCCCACTGCCTTCAAAATGTCTGGGATTGCCGTTTTAGGTGCTATGCAAACCCCCCCTTCGATGTCATGTACTGGTAGGGCCCCACATTCCACTCCTCCGAGATAAGGGTACCCTGCGCCCTAAGCTTAACAGCCTCAGGCATTGAAGCTTTCACGGCATCGAGGAAATCACGCTCTGCATCAACCGGGCTTGGGGCATCCACTACCTTCCCTTTACCTTTTCCAGCACCCTTCGACCGAGAACCACCATTACCATTCAACGCATGAAGCAGCTGATTGATGGCAGTGTTGGATAAGAACCAGTCGTATGCAAGGAATGTACCGGTCACTACAAACATCACGTGCAAGCTGCAGTACTGACTATGAGGCCCATCTCGTCGTGGCACACTGCCAAACACTCTCATGCGAAACAACGCACTCATGAAGATGTCACTCATGAGTTGCTTGTTTGCCATAATGGCATCCAACGTGCACCGACTCGCCTGTCCGATCAGCATCACCTACGGAATGCAGGTAGCCAATCGGGTCATAGGCGCCGGAGTTGACAGAAGATCCCGGAAGTTGGTG